CTTTGGTTTTGCTCCTCCAAAGAGAAATTCATCTTAAGTTATAAAAGTGTTTTGCTAGCAAATGTATCGCTTTTGCTGCTGGTATGCTGTGTTGTCTTCTATAGCTCTGAATTCGATACTAAATTTGTTGGAAACACCTACATGTATGAGGTAAACGTCAGCCCTACGCGAAGAAGTGGAATAAAAGATAGGGGAATTTTCCTGGTGCAATGAATCTGTATAAAGTGTACAATTTTCGTTAATGTGCTGTATATTTTTGCTGTCGTTTAAATCATACTAAATTGCACCATGCCAGCGATAGCCCTCTAGTGCAAATGTAGCCTTGGTGAGGTCGAAGGTTCAAACCCTGTGGTGTCATGTCAATCACACACCAGGGGTGTTACAGGGCAAAGGCCACTATTTGGCGCATGCATTTAGTAAGTGCAGACAAACCAACTGAAAATAGCCTTTTTCTTGGTATGTGTGGATAAATGTTAGTATTTTCAAGCTCGAGAGTTATTTCTTTTTCTATTTAGTTGAAAAACTGGCTCATAGACGTGTTTTGACTGCCTGGTAGAGCTCTAAAAGCAATGCCATCGTTTTGTTATTTGGTGCTGTACAGGGCTGTCAGAGGTCATGATCTCAGTGTTTCCATGGATCGCACTTATTTTCGCTGGTCAAAATTTGAAATTGTTTGACTAAATTGACAATTTGGAAGTTGGACTACCCTGTCAATATGAGTTTGCAATGTTGAACACTCAAGTAGGTGATTTTTGACAGCTCAATTCTTGTATTGTTAAATATATTCCAATTGGGGCTGGAACTTAGTGTCCTGTCCCCTGCACACCGCTTCAAGTCTCTGCTTAGGATTCTGGCAATGCATCTGTCTGCCAGTCTAGAGGACCCTCCAGACTGCAAATGAAATGATTCTATCCATCTTGCCTGTCCCGATCGGATTACTGGTTTTTCATTCTGCCTGGAAGCTAGACTTACTCGTTCAATGTGGATTTAGAACTTCCGACTTCACAGGTTGATGGGTGGATCCTGATTTACCTCCGCCACACGTTCTTTGTCAAGATAGTCACGTCAACCGGAGAAAAATAGAAGGGTTCATTTAGGCCACAGCAAGTACATTTTATTGATGGCATCCTCCACAGACTCCAAATCTAATGCCAGCGGGCGAAAAAAAACATGGTTTCTACATTTTAAAATTTTGACTCAAACATTGTACAAATGGTTTTGATTCAACTTGGGAACATCACATATACACAGCCAGCATCACATATCACTGCATCAAAGTAAGAAACAAAACATCAAATCAGAGCCTTTTCTTGTCTGCTGTCTTCATAGTTATCTACCATCCAGCTTCGGGCATGGCAACAGACATCTTTGCCCATTTTCGGCATGTTGACCACTGTCAGAGGGCAACAAAAATTTTTTTCAGAGGTTGATGTACGGATTCTGATTTACCTTCGCCACGCGTTCTTTTTCAAGATAGTCACGTCAACCGGAGAAAAGTAGAGCGTATCATTCAGCAGGCACACGGCCAGCTTCCATCATGTTATATGTGCTAACGCTTAGTAGAAGTACGTGATACGTCATGCTAATGTTACAGGCTGAAACTCTAAAACAGATTCTGGTAGCGGAAGATAAAGAACTCGTAGGCGAAAATGAGTTTCGTCGGCGGTAAATTCTGGTCGTTCAGATTGTCCATTTTTCCCCGAAGTCAAGGCAAATTGTGTTATGGGGATTTCGTTATGGCAAGAAATATTAGTAGCGCCTTCTGCAAACGGGAAGATGGCACAATTTCGAGATATATATGGCCTAGTAAGTGTTTGCATTCTTGCCCGAGGGCTTATATGTATGAGACGGCTTATTGCAATTTCTATACCTACGGGAGAAATATGAATACACAGATGGCCCATCTTGTAGTAAATTATGATAACTTACTACAGTGGCAAAGGTGATCGGCCATCACTCTTTGCAGTGCAGAATGCATGATGGCAGGAGATGTATGTAGCGGATTTTCATCGAGACTTTGTGTGAATGAAAATAACATTGAGTATTGGTATATTAATGGAGTAAATGGGGAGTTTATAATCGCTGTTGTTGCTGTTGAGGCCATCACTCATAACAGTGCAGAATAGAGAGAAGAACTTTATTGCACGACAATCGTACATGATACAACGTATGACAATAACTATTGAACATAGTACACAAAAGAGGTATAGAATGACATAAATTACCAAAACAATAAGGGATAGCAGGAAATCTTACAATTAGGTGGGGCAATCGAGATTTTTTTCTAATAACAAAGCAAATTTCTATACTTAGTCTAGTATATTTACCTATATTTTTTACATTGTGCGTCTAAAGATATCTTCAAATCTGTCTTTAGCATTTAATCTCTTGAAATCTGTTGTACTTTTTTAAGAAATGTGAATACATCATGTCCACGTAGCCTTAAAATCTTACCAAGGACAAGTTATAACGGCACAGTAATACAACGCGATCAGAATTAACACAGTAAAAAAATGAATGCTATAGCACTGTTTATTACTTTGTTCACGCACGTACCGATAATTCCTGACTCCCCAGAGACTTTTTTTAATATTCCAACATATAATCACAAGACGTGATGACGACACACTTAAGTTTTTTTTCAATTTATATTAATGCCGCCACCAACACAGGGGACAATACAATACTCCGTTTTCACCTGAGCCAAGTGAGGAAAGTCGTGTAAAGTGCCTTTCCCAAGGGCACAAGATCGGTGGCATGTCAGGACTCGAACCCGGGACCTCTCGGTTCCGAGTCGAGCACTCTGCCGCTACGCCACACGGTCCCACAATAGTTTAACCGGCACAGTAATGCAACGCGATCAGAATCAACACAGTAAAAATGAGTGCAGTAGCACTGTGTATGAACTTTGTTCACACACGTACCGATCATTTTTTGACTCCCCAATGATATGCAAGATACGATACGGAGTAGAAATGTGAAGGTAAAGGTTGGATTTACCAAAGGTTGTAAACTCATGTAATGTATCTGGCTTTACAATAGTAGTAAATAAAGGTCAATTGCGCATGCAGCAATTTCCTTTACAACCGTTAAAAGTCCGGTATTATCGTGCTTGACTTTTATTTACTGACATTGTAAAGTTCAGAAGTGTTTATTAAGAAAAAACAAAGTAAACATTACCCAACTATACTGGCCCGGTAAATCTAAGTTTTCGTGCAGTGATAACGCGTTATCGCGAGTGGTTAGTTCCCAAAGATTCTTCCTTGGCCCACGGCTACTGACTACAGTGCCTTTTTCCGACAGCTTTAATCATCATCAAACTCCCCGGGCATGTTTGATGGTGGCGACGCTCGTAAGTGGCGCGGGTTTAGGAACAAATTACGACGGGTTAAGATCGTTGTGCTGCAGCTCCAGGGACCACAGCCGCATTACCCCGGGACAAGCCGGGCGCCGGAGTCGGAGGAAAAGAAAGTGAACGCGGTGATCATCATCGGTTAAGATTTGAGAAACCATCAATCTAGCTACACCCGGGCTGCGGGGGAAATTTGGAGTGTCTTCCGGGAGGGAGAGAGTGGAAGGAGGGTGTTATCGGGGATTGCAGCTTGTTGAAAGGTTCACTTTCAGTGCCGAGATTCGCGCGGAATAGCAAGTTTGAGTTATCGCGTTTCTACCGGACGCTATCGCTCAACACAGTCCCCTCACACAGGAAAGCAAAATGAGGGAGCTGTCAGCTGCGTTGGCGTCTACGGTAGTGATATCGAAGTAATCTGCCACTTTCTATACCAACTTTCTTTTATTCTGCTGACGTAGCAAGCTGAACAAAGCTATTAATGGGAAGTTTCGGCTCCGGCTTACAATCCAAGCAGAGGTTGTGGGGGAATGATCGTTAGCTTTTTATATATGTCTGTTTTTTTTTGTGTGTGTTTTTTTTGTCGCTACCCCCACCAACGGTGGCCTGCGACCTTCTCTGGGATACTGCCTGGCCAATTTGATACTGTATTTTTGCCACCGAAAGGGATCTGCTTGGAGATTAGCTCCGGCTGCCATACCAAGGGTGGCCTTGAAGTTGAATGGTCAGGTTTTACATGTACGTCATGTCCAGACATGCTGCTGGCTGTCATGATGCCCCTACGACCGTTCACAGTTATGGGACTTACATACATACATACATACATACATGTTCTATGGTATCTGTCCTTGACCATTGTTATATCATCGGTCTCCTTCTTTATCGCGTTTTTGCACTGGCTCCAAACTTGTGTTACACAATCTTTCACTGTCAGGAGACAATTTGGTCCCCTGCTCCAAGAGCTTGTGGTCATACACCTCTAACTTAAGGGATTCATTCTCATTTCCAGAACTACCAATAGGAGCTCCGGATTCTTTTTCACCATGAAAATCAATCCAATAGGAGCTCAGAATTGTCTGTTATTATGGAAACCAGCCGTCACACATATCTGTGACCACGTTGCGTGATATGGGATCTTCATGTTTTTGTTTGTTTGTTTTTATTCGGGCCACAGAAAACAAAATACAGACATAGAGGTGACGTAACTTAGGAGTCAAACCCTTTAGACATAGTTTTAGAGAAAACTATACTTTTAGACAATTACCTTTTATTGTGCAGATTCTGTACTCTGTTTCAATGTCATTTTATCTTTGTTATCTGCAATTAGCTCTCGGGCAGGAATTTGCAATATATAATAATAAACTTCTTATCTATTGTGGGGTCGTGTGGCGCAACGGCAGAGTGCTCGGCTCGGAACCGAGAGGTCCCGGGTTCGAGTCCTGTGCCCTTGGGAAAGGCACTTTACATGACGTTCCTCCACTTAACTCAGGTGAAAATTAGTATTGTCTGTCCTGTATTTGTTTCTATGTGTGGGACACAACACCAGCAACAGCTGCCTGTATCCCACGTGTACTGCACTGTTGCAATTTCAATAAATGAAATCAAATATATTAACGCCAGGATGTTCATGTTACTGTGTTTTATTTTTCAGGCAAGTTGGCGCCATTCATAGAGGTCCTGGTTCTCCAGCTGTCCATCCTCACCATCATGGCAGTGTCCGTGGACCGGTACCGGGGCGTGTGCCGCGCTCTGCAGGCCCAGGCAACCCGGCGCCTCCGCGGCACTGCAGTAACGATCGCAGCCGCATGGGGGCTCTCTCTGCTCACCAGCAGCCCCATGCTGGTCTTCGTCAAGTTCTCCACCTACCACGTCAACGGGTCCTCGGTGGAGATCTGTGAGATGATGAGCCTGGCCGAGTCGTGGAAGGACGTGTACGCCGTGGCCGTGACCGTCATGTTCTTCGTCGTGCCCTTCTTAATCCTGTCGTCTCTGTACAGCCTCATCATCCGTCGGCTGGTCAGTTTCAGTTTCAGTTTATTTATTTAACCAGAAGATATACTCAGGTCATTCGACCTGCTTTTCAGGTAGATCTGGGTACAATAAAAATGCAGAAACAATACAATGATAACAACACAGTACATAGCACATAATAGCCATACAGCAGTACAAATACAATATAATTACAATGAGTTTTTGAAGGCCGTTACAGTTCGGAGCTTTCTCTGTTCTATCGTGAGCTGGTTCCACAGCACTGGAACCTGATACCGCAGGCTCCCTTTGTATGCGTTAATGTTTGCCGGTGGAACAACCAGCATGTGAGGGTCCCAATTTGCTAACTGGTTTACAGCTAACCGTGTCCGTCTGTTCAACAACAGGTCAGGAGGGCCTCGGACGAGACCAGCGGCAACTTCCGTCACCAGCAGCAGGCCCGGCGCCGCGTCATCCGCATGCTGATCGTGGTGGTTCTGGTGTTCTTCCTCTGCATGCTGCCCAACCGGGTCTTCCACCTGTGGATGTTGTTCGCCCCCCAGGAGAGCATCATCGCGCTCGGCAGCGGCACGGTCATGAAGCTGATCGTCTTCATGCGGTCCCTGGCCTTCCTCAACTCCTGCATCAACCCCATCATCTACTCGCTATTCTCCACGCGATTCCGCTCCACCATCCTCAACTGCTGCCGCGGCCCGCCCGTGCTGCAGGGGCGCCACCTGTCGGCTTCTTCCGCACATACAGGCATGTACTTTTGACTCTTATATGTACCGATTATGTTATGTACAACTTTCATTTGATGTTTCCAGTCTGACCTTTTGATTCGGACTTGGATTTATGTTTCTTTATTTCTGTACCTATGTTTAATAATATGTTCATGTCTTATAAGCCCATATGGGCTGGGCGACAAAAGTCGCAAGACACGTAAATAAAAAAAATCATTCATTCATTCATTCATCCATCCATTCATTCATTCATTCATTCATTCATTCATTCATTCGTAGTAGTAGTAGTAGTAGTAGTAGTATATATATTGGTAAGCCTTTATTTAAACTCGACAGCTTGTTCGGTACATACATATGACCGCTTTTCAACAAGGTCGAGGGTGAGGGCAGGGTCACGGATTACAAATCAAACAAAAAAATATATAATAATACAAAAATAAATAGTAAATCATCATTCATTAATTCATACAGGCAACCCGTCCCGGATCGTCCTTCTTTAATTTCTCTTGATATTTCCAGTCTGACCTTTTGCTTCGAACTTGGATTTATGTTTCTATGATGTCTGTACCTATGTTTATGTTAATAATAGTAATAATAATAATAATACTGGTTTATTCTTCTCTCTTGCACATGTTACATCTCGCAGGGCATAGGCCCCGCTGAATTGGTTGCAACTTCAAATGTTCTCGTGTCTTATAAGCTCATATGGACTGGGAGACAAAAGTCGCAAGACACGTAGATAAAATTCATTCATTCATTCAATCATTCATACAGGCAACCCGTCCCGGATCGTCCTCCCCGAGCTGAACGTCCTGTGGAGGGGACCGGACCAGGCGGCGGGCGCGGCGGGCGGAAAGAGGACCCGGCACCGCCTGGCTCTCGCCGAGCTGCCGTCGCTCAGGAGCTTCCCCGTGTCGGACGAGTCGGACAGCGGGAGCGTCGTGTACATAAGGAAGTGGTCCTTTGACTGGGTGAACTTGAAAGAAACAGCTCTGTGACATATCTCCGAATAGATACTAGGGTGGCAAAAAGACAGTATCACATTGGCCAGGCAGTATCCATTGGCCAGGCAGTATCCATTGGCCAGGCAGTATCCATTGGCCAGGCAGTATCCATTGGCCAGAGTGTCCAATACGCCACCTCAGGATCTGCAGAAATTGTTAGGGTGTAGCTACAAAAAATGGGCCATAGATAAAAAGGTAACGATCTTCCCCCATCAACCTCTGCTTTGAGAGTACCTGTGACCGTGGTAACATGCAGACACTTTGTTGGACTCGCAGATAATATTTTAAAATGATTTGTCTCATTTTTGCTCAAAGTAACTCAGTAATACATGTTACGAATTCATTTGTTGTGGCTTGGTCTAGTTTTGGCATAGTTTCGTTTAAATTTATGATACTGCAATCTATGATACAAACCAGGATTATGATGCTAGCCATCAAGCTTCCAGTGATCGTGTAGATAAGGAAGTGGTCCTTCGACTGGGTGAACTTGAAGGAAACGGCTCTGTGACCGCAGTAACATGCAGACTCTTCCGTTTTAAAGTGATTGGTCATTGATTATCCTGATGAAGGCGACAGTGGTCGCTGAAAATTTCATCTCTGTTTAACCTGTGTGTTGTAATAAAGTTCAATATTTTGCTATGATTACTACCAACACAGATGAACTTTCATGATAATGCAGGCTTTTTGTCGGACTCGCAAATGATATGTGTGTCTAATTTCAGCTCATTTATTGTAGCTTGGCCTACAAAACCAGGCATAGTTTTGTTTAAATTTATGATACTGCAATCTATGATACAAACCAACAGGATTATGATGCTAGCCAGTTTCTAGGGGCCTGACCAGTGATCGTGTACATCAGGAAGTGGTCCTTCGACTGGGTGAACTTGAAAGAAACGGCCCTGTGACATAACATGCAGAGGTTTTAATGGACTCGCAGATAATATGTTTATCTCGTTTTTGTTCAATCTCTATGCCTATGGCAATCACCCGAGATCTTTATTTTCAATCATGTACAAACATATTCATGTACAGATACAGATTCATGTAGAGATAAACAAATACAGATTTTCCGAGTATGATGACCGTGTCAGTCCCTACACCTGAGTGAGGAGGGTTGACACGGTGGCCTTCGCGTGGATTTGTTTAAGGTGGATGACGGTTGCGCATCTGAGACCCACACACTTTTTGCTCAAAGAAACTCACTAAGGCATGTCACGAATTCTTTTGTTGTAGTTTGATCTACCCAAACATTCATAATTTTGGTTCAAATCACCACATACTGCAATTTATGATAGAAATCAACAGGATTAAGATTCTCCCAATTCTCCAGACTTAAATGTGCTAGCCATCAAGCCTCTAGGGGCCTGGCTAGTGATCGTGTACATTTAATAATTAAGTAGTGGTCTTTCGTATTCGAGTGTATACACTTGAGAGAAACGGCTCTGTGACGTATAATGTAGACTGTGTGCTCTTTTTGTTGTGCTCGCAGATAATTTCTCTAGGTTCATCATAATTATCTCTATGTAACGTAGTAATAGTAATTCATTTGTAGTCGTTGCAGACTTTGTTGACCTTGCGAATGGTTTTATTAGTCTCGGTTCAGTTCTATGTAACTTAGTAATAGTATTATCATATTATATCTAATATTATTATAATTATTTGTCGTGGTTTGGTCTGCAAAAGCAGACATGAGTTTGGTTTAAGCCACGTCACCATATACTGCCGTCTGTGATGTAAAGCAACAGAATTAAGATGTTCCCAATTATTCTGACTCATCAAATAGAGGTGCTGGAAAATGACCTTCAAGAACCAATGAAAGGGCTTATAGAAGAAGTAATGTGAGGCTACTACGCCACTCTGGCCTTGGACGTAGAAGTGCTGTCTTAGTAGAAAACAGAAATGACATGCCTGTCACGGACAAACTAGATTTTAAATTAAAGATATGTACTATATGTTCATGTCAAATAAATGGTATTCTTTCAAGTTGAGTCCACTTTGTTCTATATGAAAGATATAATCTTAGTTAGAAGACAGTTTTTCTTGTTTCATCCGTTTAAGGTTTCTTGATATTAAAACATATTCATATACGAAAGTTGGGTCCAACACAGGACAATTTGGATATTCGGCATGATAGCTGCAAAACCAAGGCATATCGCAAGGTGGAGCACCTAAAAAATCATAAGCCTTCTGGTTGGTTCACACAAGGACATCGGTTTTTTATATGATGTCCTTGGTTCACCCATCACCACGGTTCAAATCGTATCAGGCAAAAGCAAGCCTTATGATTCTTACCTTGATAATGTATAGTCTGTAGTTGGCATCCGGCACTATCCGTTCAAACGCAATGTCGACCCTTGGACCTTGATCAAGTATATCAAACACAGCCATACGATTGGGGTCGTGTGGCGTAGCGGCAGAGTGCGCGACTCGGAACTAAGAGTCCCGGGTTCGAGTCCTGACATGCCATCGATCTTGTGCCCTTGGGAAAGGCACTTTACACGACTTTCCTCACTTTGCTCAAGTGTAAATGAGTATTGTCATGTCATGTATTTGTCCCCTGTGTTGGTGGCAGCATTAATTTAATTTAAGTTGAAAAAACTTGAGTGTGTCTTCACCACGCCTGGTGATTACATGTTGGAATAAAAAAAGCCATAAGATTACTGAGTTTACATACTCTTAAGTTTCTCGCTGCTTCGACCATACTACAGCCAAGCAACAGAAAAGTATACTCATCAGCACGACGAGGCACTCGCGCGCTTTATTGACCTTCGCAACTTGATTAAGTACATCAAACAGCCATACGATTACTGAGTTTACATACTGTTAAGTTCCTTGCTACCTCGACCTTCAATTCTGTTAACAATCTACTTATCTCTTGGCTTGGCTATAATCTACAATCTACTACAGCGATTAGAAAAGTAGATTCATCAGCACGACGAGGCACGCGCGCGGTTTCTATCCAGAAAGCAGGGATCACCATCATCACTGGTAGACCGTGTTCTGTGATGCTTTCAGGACGTAATAACAGTCATTAGTGTCGTGCTGGTGAATATTGTCCCCGATTCTGGCGCAGTCTTCAACATAGAGGGTCCTTCAGGTTTACATCAGGAGGATTTTTGATTTGGATCGCAGGACTCGAAATATATTTGTTCTTCATATACCTGCACTGGAACATTGAAAGTTACCTGCACCAGATAAGTTTTACCTACCGGTGCAGGTTAGGTGCAGGAAGACATCAGATATACCTGCACAGCTCCAATTTTACCTGACGTGTACTAAGGTGCATATGCACCAAGTATTTTAAGCCCCGAATGGTAATTACTAGCGCGGCAGCGAAGTCGTGAGGCTGAAATAATCGTCTCCATTATCGGCAAGGTCACGATGTCATATTTTCTGCTCTCCATGCCTCTTTGAGGCCATTAAACCCACGCACTATAAGGACATACAAAATATTCAAAGAGATTTAGGAAAGAGAAACATATTTAAACATTGCAAACTTCGAACATCGCAGAGCCATGTGTAAACTTCGCATTAGTGACCATCCCTTACGTATAGAATCCGGCAGGCATAGCCGTACCCCTCTGAAAGATAGAACGTGCGAATTCTGTAATCATTTATATGTTGAAAACGAGATACACTTTCTACTTGACTGTACATTATATAAAGATGAACGCCAAGAGCTATTCGATACTTTACAATTAGACAAGATATGTAAGAAAATGTCAAAGCAGGACATGTTTAAACACTTGATGTCATGCAAGAACGAATGTACAGTAGACAAACTATGTAGTTATGTTTCCAGATGTTTCAAAAAGAGAGAAGAAAGGGCAACTAACAGTAGATGATAGGTAGTATATAGTATTGTTGTATTGTATAGATTCTTAGCACTTTGCATTAGAATATAGCGTACCAGTATGAAATGCTCATGTTTTTGCATACTGCATACCCTCTTGTGCATTCAGCCCAGCTGGGCAAGAACATGCAATAAAGATTCATATCATATAATCCAGGTCCTGTCGACGTAGCGTTTGTAGCCCAGTGGTTAGCGATCCTGCCTCTGGACTAAGAGGTTGGGAGTTCGAATCCCGGCTGTTGTTGCTCACCCGACATGCACGCTACTGTTTAGGGTCGCAGTCCTTCGGACGGGACGTTAAGCCGTGGTCCTCTGTTCATTGCGCTTGTCTAAAAGAGCTAGTGGGGAATTTCATCGGTACAATGAACCTGTAAATACAATACATAGCGTCTGTATTCTCTGTCACGACCAGTGGAAGAGTAGCTCTTCAATGAGCTAAAAACTGGATCGAGATTTCCTTTCACTTTCGTCCATGCTGCTTTAATTTGACAGCTGACAGACTGGAAAGTAAGGGAAGTTAAACATATGCAGAACCACGCGTGTCCTGAGTGACACTTCCATTAAAAGAACTCGCGATTTCATGTTAATTCACGCCTTATTTTGCCGATGTTTATGCAGCAATATCTGCTAAAAGCACTTCGATGTCCGGTAAATGTCGTTTGCTGTCTTAATGCTTCTACACGCCAATCACAAACCTACGCTTTCTGGCACCTTAATAACAAGAAGCAGAGAGTGGAGATAAAACGTTTAAAACGGGGGTAGATGAAAGACCGCCGAAAAGGGACAACATTTGCCGGATACAAAATCTAACAACTAGAAAAACAAATGAGAGATATGATTATCAACCATCGTGGAGTCTGGTGGATTTCGTCTGTCGTCCTGCTTTTCAAAAGAGATAGTCACAAATCAAATGCTTCTGCCGGTGGATCAGAAAAAATACAATGTACAATGTACAGGGGCGATATAACTTGTACTCTCCAAGCAGAGGTTTGGGTTTTGGGGGTATTTTTAGCGCGTTTTTAGGCTTTTTTTATCGAGGTTTCTCTTTTGCACTGAATTTTTCTTCCCACTAAACCCCAAAAATTCAGTGCAAAAGAGAAACCCCGATAAAAAAGCCTAAAAACACGCTAAAAATACCCCCAAAACCCAAACCTCTGCTTGGAGAGTATATAACTTGAGCAATAGCTAGGTGGGTAGAATGCTAGCGCTACATTACCTCATCTCACCTCACCCATCCCATTACATTGCATTAGAGTAGGTCAAATCCCCGCCCAATATCAACCACATACAAGGCATGTAACCTGCAGCTTTCTTAATAGAACGCAGCACTTATCGAGTACGGTAACTTAACACACTGCTCCTGATGGTCTTGACTCGTGTTAAAGTGGTTCGAGGGTTACTACACTAAAGGTGGGATCCGCACCTACATAAGTTCAAGGGCTATTAGAAACCGTGGTGCGCACTGCGTGCACATGTGAAGGAGGTATTGACGAAATGCGTGCGTAGGAAAGAGTTCAGTGAACTTTTTTCAACAGTTGAGACTCTTGATTCTAAGATAATGGATAAATGCTTTTAACAAACATACAAAACGTCACTTGTACGTGTTAATTACGAAGTTTGAACACCAAAAGCCTTAAACAAAGGTAAAATGTTAGCCTTAAACATTATACAGTGAGCATTTTTCAGTAGTGTCCAGAAAGAGTGAAGAAATTAACAGTCACAACTTATAACTATCCTTACTACTTATGATTGGTAGCATTACTGTTGTGTATTGCCTTCAATATTTTAGCATTTCCTTATCATTACATAAAAGCGTTTTATATAACTTCTTGTAGTTAGTTTTAAGACAGATTCAGCTAAGTTAGCTCCTGGCATCGTCATGTCAGAGTTTTAAACCCTGTAAAAAGTTACAATAAGTTACTAAGCTTTATCCACTTTTTGATACAAGAATTGCCAAATTACCATGATTCATTTTTCATAATACAGCGTGTCCTCTTAAAATCCTTGGCCTGATTGTCAAAGATATAAAAGTACCTGTGCAAAGATTTACAGAAGCTACAATGATCATAATTCGCTGAAAAATATGTACTATTCTCACTGACTGATACATTTTGATACACATGTACGAGTATATATTTACACAATGTGTGAGTGTGTGTGTGTGTGTGTGTGTGTGTGTGTGCGTGCGTGCGTGCGTGCGTGTGTGTGTGTGTGTGTGTGCGTGTGTGTGTGTGAGTGTGTGTGTGTCTGTGCGAGTGTGTGTGTGTATGTTTGTGTGTGTGCGTCTGTCTGTGTGTGTGTGTGTGTGTGTGTGTGTGTGTGTGTGTGTGTGTGTGTGTGTGTGTGTGTGTGTGTGTGTGTGTGTGTGTGTGTGTGTGTGTGTGTGTGTGTGTGTGTGTGTGTGTGTGTGTGTGTGCGTGTGTGTGTGTGTGTGTGTGCGTGCGTGTGTGTTCCTGTATTCCGTGATATTGCTTCAAGTTTTCTGGCCAGGAGATATTGTAAAACAGCTTTCTTTTTGACCTTGACTTTTCTCAAGGTCAATAAACTATACATCTATATTTCCTCCATATTCTCTGCATAATTTGACATGAATATACACATTTTTAATTACAAAACTGCCTATCAACGAATAGATGTCTGTTAAAACCATATCGCTGTCTATTAGGTACAAATGAACTATATACAATCTATTTACAAAGCATTGCTTCGTCACAGTTCCAAATCTTGAACCTTTTTCTGTCATCACGCAATTTCAGATTAGAAATCGTCAGCATGAAATACCGTAGGGGCAGTTAGATGTACACGTGATGTACACGTTAGACATGTCATTCTTAAATGTTAGGTGCGAGTATCTCACGTGTTGACACGTGAGTTAACACATGTTAGACATGTGATGATGCGTGTTTGAGAAGTGATTTCGTCATGTTAGACACGTGATTCATAAATGTTAGGTACATGCCTGTTACCTGTGAAACGTGATAGATACATGTTAGACATGTTAGTCCTCAAATGTTACACATGTGATTCCCACGTGCCAGACACGTGAATCAGACATGTTAGACACATGTTAGACGTGTGATTCCCACACGTACACACAAAGCTCACCAAACTCCTGTTTAAAACTCGGTTCGTTGTATCTTGCGTTGCTAGTGCTCCTGGTCACCGGAAATGCCGTCAGGCGAGTCAAGGCTGTCGCGGAAGTGACGTTGGAGTGACGTCGGTCTGGGCAGGGTGGTGACGTATTTGAAGCGACTTGTTCGAACAGGAGATGGTTCTGTAGAGTATTCCTGTTGACGTTGTTTCTGTCCCTGGCAGTGTTTCTGTGTGCCTGCTGAAGGGAATTGCGCAAGGTGAAGACAATTGACAATTAACACTTTTCAGGCCGTGATTACCTGCAAAAAAAAAAAACACGACGGCACAGGGGCCCAAAATCCTGGGGTTCGGTTATTAGTATTTACTTTACTTAACAGTTGCTACAAATACATCGCAACTTTGTAAAAAAAAAAATTCGGTACGCATGCAACCCACCCCATTCTTAAGCTTTTAACTAAGTAGTGGATCTTGGGGAAGCGTCCGAGTAAAACTAGCCTCCATCAGGCGTTCCTATTAAAGCGGGTTTGGACAGTAGAATTTGGCAAGCGCCAGTACCTGTCCAGAAGTGAAGGTGTCGGACCCTTCCGAGGAAGAACAGCACTTGAAGAAGGCTGTGTGGAACCGGGTGTAGAGAAGACCAGCCTTTTTGGTACATTTAGGTAGCAGATCTCGAGGAGCGGACTAGATCTATAACCAGGCTAGGCTAATCTAATTCAAGTGTAGCCTCTACCAGACTTCGAGAAGCGGCTGGGAAGAGTAGAAATAGGCCATAAAGACAAATGTCACAACAGGAGAGTGATAATTCGGGAGCGGCAAAATGTTCTCTCAGCGCCGACCAACTCCCCTGGTATGTTTTCTGTCTTTCTGGCCGACTTCCACACTTTCCAGTCGCTTCCCGAAGACCGGTAGAGGCTAATGCTAATCCAAGCGTTACCTGTCCTGAGGTGAAGGTGTCGGACCCTTCCGAGGAAGAACAGCACTTGAAGAAGGCTGTGCGAAACCGGGTGGAGAACAGCGTGTAGATGATGGGGTTGAGGGAACAGTTGATGTACACCATCATCCGCATGAAGATCGTCAACTATGAGAGGGAGGGGAGAGAGAGGCGGAGAGAGAGGGAGAGAAGGAGAGAGAGAGGGGAGGA